AGTCTGTTCAATTTATCTGTCACAGCAATTGACCAGCTTAATTTGTTTTGAGACTTAATCAACTTAGATTGCTTTTTCGTAAATTTTAATATTTTTGAGGTAGAGATACAAGAAAGTTTTCTGTATGATAAACTATCGTTATATTCCTGATCTGATTTGTCATTATTATTCGACTTCCTATTAACATTAAACATGCGAAATGCAAAATTTGATTTATCGGATTCATTATCAAATTCTGATTCATCTGATTCATCACATTTTGATTCATTCGATTCATTTTTAAATAACACTGTATATTGTATATAAATTATTATAAGCAGTATATTACGATGTATTGAATTAACTCTAGTTGCTACAATAAAATTTCACGATTTTGATTGGCTAAGAGAGACGATCAAAAAATTAGCCAGAATTGATGGAATTTTATTAATGAAGTCACTACCACCTATTAAGCGAAAATTGTTCCTAGGCCAATTTTACCATAGTGCAGGCATATTTTTCAAAAATTATATTTTTGTAATAAAAAAAACAATATGTTAATTCCAGCCGGAAATTAGTAAACAAGTATGTAATGCGAGCCAAAATTTTGCAGGTCACGACAATTAGCTATTCAAAATCGAGAATCTACCATGACAATTTTGTTGCAGCAGCTATAGTTAATATAAAATGATATTTTAAAGATAATTTTACCAAATTCGACTACAAAATCGTCTTTTGGGCTGATAGTTAATTGTAGTTCTTTTATTTTTTCTTCTTCTATTTTTTCTTCTTCAATGTTGATATTAGTTGACTCTAAGGTAGACATAACACAATAATTTTAACCAATTATTAATCAAATTATGTCATAATAAAGGAACTGGAAAACTTTGGATTTAATTTATGTCAATTTCAAATCCTATAAATAAGCCCAAAATTTATGAGTTTCTGTGATTACTAATGGAATTGTTATATTGAAATTACTGTGGCTTAAAATTTTGAAGCCATAATTGTTATTTATTTAAATGTTTTTTTTTTATTTTATACACCATTTTCACTTTTATATTTATCGTGGCTGTTCAAAAAGCTGACTTTTTTTTTGACCAAGCATACAACTTTTTTTATTTGCTTTTATATTAACAAATCTATATGTTAAGTATGAATATAATTAAGGTGGCATACTATTAACATGAACTATATGCCAAAACTGGTCTATATTATTTCAGTTTTTAATAATAAAAACATGAATAAGTATTGTTTGGAGACGAGAATTTATCAATTTGTTAGATACGTATTAGAAAATCATATGTTATGGTTTATAAGTATTTGATTATATTTAAAGTGGCTTAGTATTTCCTTGCCAAAGATTTCCAACATTTTTTTTTTGTTATTGCTCAAAAATTGTGAAATCAATATCCCCTTAAAGATAAATCACATTTATTTAATATGCTAAACAAATGTGAAAATTTTCTGAAAAAATTATACATATTTATATATTAGGAGCAAGATGATTCAATCGCATAATGTATAGTTTATACGGCATTTCAAACATTATCTGTTTACAAAATCTTGTATCTATTGGTCTGCGGGATATTATTCTTCACAGATTGTTTATTTTCACATGGTAGTTTATATCTCTGTGTACATACTAATACTATTTATTGTTATTTATTGTGCATGTATTTTTACACGCGAGTTATATTTGTAAAATCCAAGATGTGATAACAACAAACAGCAGTGAATATAAGAGTTTTAGATATAAATAAGCAACCCTATGTAAATTTATATGCTTTTTTTTTTAGACATCTAGTAATTATATTTTTTTCATCAGACTTTTATCAGGATGATGAAATAATAATCATTGATCATCAAGATAAAGCATTGCACCAATAGGCTAAAATCAGGGAACCGGTAAAATATCATTTTTAATAATGGGAATTTCAAATCCTGTAAATAAAATCAATATTTTTCTAGGTCCCTGATAAGAGTAG